TATTGATTTCTTTCCTCCAAAGAGTAAAAATAAAATTCTCACTGACCCCAAACTTTTGAACGGTAGTGTATATATATATATATATATATATATAAATATATATATATTTAATTGGATTAGTTATTCTACTTTATCATTGTTTTGCCATTACTTCTACACGTAGCTTACATGTCACTTTCCATCTCACTTTCTTTCATAGAAGAAGCTCCATTGTGCTGGTATGACCTCATGGCCTCCCTGGGTGTATGCCCTCTATGACTCTGTGAGTTTGATCTCTTATTATTAATTTGATTATATCATAAACAAAATATTTTACACTATACATTATAAAGTCTTAAAGGTGCAGTTTTTTTCACTTAAACCATTTTACCGAAATAAGAGAACTTATTATTTACTTATTGTAAATATTATTAAACTTTTATTCTTATTATTTATTTAGATTGTAAATACATTGATCCGTTTCTAAAAGGTACAATCTCAGCAAACTATCATCATCATTTAGATAATATTGACAACATTTTAGCACTGATGGTTATGTATGTGTTTCTCTCCAGACAACTCTCATGAGCAGAGTAAAGAAACAACTCCATGAATGGGATGAAAACCTCAACGACGAGTCCCTGCCTACAAATCCCACAGGTACACACTGAGTATGAACACACAGACACTTTCAGGTTCACACACACAGTCAAGTAGTTAGAAATTGTCTCTCTCTCTCTCTCTCTCTCTCTCTCTCTCTGCAGATTTCTCATACAGGGTGGCCGCATGTCTACCAATAGATGATGCTCTACGACTTCAGCTACTGAAGATCGGCAGTGCCATCCAGAGACTGCGCTGTGAGTTGGACATCATGGACAGGGTGTGTATGTGTATAGTTGCCTTTGTCTATTAATCTTCATATATGTCTTTCTATTTGTCTAGGAGTTTGTTTTATGCATTGTAAAATGCAGGAAAAGATCATGTTCATATTTTTTTTTGTCTCTTTACAGTGCACCTCTCTCTGCTGTAAACAGTGTCAGGATACAGAGATAACCAGCAAGAATGAGATCTTCAGGTCAGGCAATTACTTTTTTTTTTAATGCTGAGAACTTAATTTGACAATGTAGTTATATATAAAATATTGTTTGGCAATTGAGGAGAATTAAAGGGAAAGATTACTAAAAATATATATTTTATCATCAAGGCACCAAAGCCCGTCAAGCACCAATGAGGAAAATAAAGCACCCTAAAAGTTTCTTGAAAGTGGTCGTATGAACGATTCATCCATGCATATCTTTCATTTTTTTTTTTAACATTTAGACCAGTGTTTCTCAACCTCTCCTGCAGGGACCCCCTGACAGGCCATGTTTCTGTTTTAACCCTGAAATGGCACACCTGATTCAAGTCATTAAAGGCTTAATGAGTAGTTGACTAATTGATTAATTGAACTATTCCTACTCTAATTACTCATTAAGCCTTTAATTACTTGAATCAGGTGTGCCATTTCAGAGTTAAAACAAAAACATGGCCTGTCAGGGGGTCCCTGCAGGAGAGGTTGAGAACCACTGATTTAGACGTTTTCATTGTCAGAACGTGATCTTCTGGTGAAACAACTGACTTCTCTCTGGTGATGTACGTCGGACTTCTCCAATAATTTAGTCTACTTAAAGTCCACAACTGGAAGTTGCAATCGACTTAACTTCTGTGTTGTGACGTATTTCCAAGTGAAACGGAATATTGAATAGAGGGCGGGGTTTTACTTTAGCGCACCTCCTCTCCATCCCTCGCTCATAGCAGACTGACGGTTGGAGGGGAATGGTTAAGGATATTCAATCAAAGCCATCAAACTGACGTCATCAGAGAAGCAACGCCATTCCAGATCGGAAGCAAATTTTTAGATTTTGATTTGAAATAATAATTTTGTATTATTATTGACAAACAAATTATTTTCTGTGTATTAACTTGCATGGATTAATTATTCACCACAAGACTAACAAAGTAAATAAGGTCAATTTTTATTTCATGACGACTTTAAACCCTACACACAATCGACTGCAAGCTCACAGTCAGATCTGCCTCCATCAAATCTACATCTGATGGATAGAACCATAGACTGTAAAAAAAGATGGACGACGCCACTTCGCTCTCTTCCATTGGTCAGAAGTGAAGCCACCAGTATCCCGATATGGCGCTGACATCTTGGAACTTGAGTTTGCGCAGACGCGATTTCGGGACCAGACATGCGCAGTAGTGAGCAGGAAGTAAAGTTGGGAAATCAAGGCCCCGCCCTCACTCTCGCAGAATCAATCGCAAGAACACGCTCCTGCACTTTTTTTTAAATTAATTATAGAAATTTAGATATTAAATTTAAAGCTCCAATCTCCTCAGTCCTCCGAAGATCCCGAAAAAAGGTCTGTTGGTGCTTCAGTGACTACTTTGCTCAGAGAACCTGTCAATCACAGCTGTCAATCATGACGTCACCACCACTGCATCAAATAACTAACTAAAAACAAACTTATTTTAAAAACAAACACTTGAAATTACATCAGCGTGATAATAACTACAGTAAATGACAGAAACCATATTTGGAAAAACGATATTTGAAGTGTAATTTAATTGTTTAGTTGGTCTCACGTTGAATAACATGGGGAGGCGGGGTTTATGACCTATACTAGGACCGGCCACCGGGGGGCGATCGAGACGTTTTGGCTTCACTTTTCAGGGTTTGTGCAGCACGCTTGGATAAAACCAAGTCCCCTCCTTACATTTTTTATTCGAATGCACATTACAACATGGAAGAAACAATGTGTCTCTCCTTCTGTTTTATTGCAACTTTAATATTCGAAGTCCTCTGAAGCCATATGATAGCTTTAGTTGGGGAAAAGATCAAAGTTTACATGGTAAAGTCATTATTTCCCTGTTGAACTTTTTGAATGTCTTGAGGCTTATCAAATGATGACAGACTTTACATTTTTGGGTGATCTTCGCCTTTAAGATGGAAATGAAAACAGTTACTCATGTAACACTCCTCTGTCTTTAGTCTGTCTCTGTATGGGCCAATGGCAGCATATGTGAATCCGCATGGTTATGTTCATGAGACACTTACGGTCTACAAGGCCAACAACCTCAACTTGATTGGACGGCCTTCCACACTGCATAGTTGGTTTCCAGGGTGAGATTTAATGCTTTTGTATGTTCAATAATGTGTTTTTGATCACTTGAATTTAGATTTTTATATCTTAGTATCCATCCAAATGATTGGCCATTGTCACATAAAATTTGATGCATTTCTTTTCTTAGGTATGCGTGGACAATTGCTCAGTGCAGAACCTGCGGCTCTCATATGGGCTGGAAATTCTCAGCAGTAAAAAAGGATCTGAGTCCACCTCGGTTCTGGGGTTTGACTCGTTCTGCCCTGTTACCGACAATCCCACAAGGCGAGGAGGGTGTCAAGGGGTCACGCTTGCTGTGCCTGTGATGTGATCTGATGATTACTTGTGACCTAAACCCAACAGCTCACAAACATATGCTCCCCGAGGGGTCTCCTCTATCACCCCAAAAACATGAGACTCCAAACCACACCTAGAGAGAGAGAAAGTGTGTTTGTGAGTTTATATGTGTAGATGTGTGCATGAACAGGGAGAGGAAAGAAAAAGGGGACAGTGATGCATAAGATACAGAAGTAGAAAGAAAAACAGAATTTAAGTTGTTGCCTTCACACACCTTGTGCTGTGTAAATTACAGGCTGATACGTGCAATATCATACCAGATGAGCTCTTTAAGATTACAGTCTGTTGTAATGCACTTAATTTACAGTCTAAGCAGTCTTTTCTTCATCATTACTGACTAGATGACAGTTATTGATGCTCTTTAAGCAAGATCTTGTTTGGATGTTCATGAAATAAGTACCGTGTTAAAATAGGGACAAATCTCTTACACCATCTCATTTAGTCTGACAAAAAGTCTTTCATGCCCACATTTATTGACATAATCAATTATGTAGAATACCTCAATCAATTAATTGTTCTTGGACATCTTAGCTTCTTCAAAACAAGATCTAAACTGCTTAAAATGAAATAATTCTCCACATGCTGTCTCATGTGCTTGGCACACAACACCTGGCTAAAATTGGGAGATTGTCAAGAATAAAGGAAATATCAGGGAGTTACCCTTTATGTTATTCTCAAAAACTATTTTGTATTTCTCAGTTTCTCAGTTTTGCTTTTTCCTTTGTCATGTGATTATTTGGTGACCATTTAATTAAATGATGGTTTGATGTATATTTTGAGTTGAGAGCCAAAAACAGATGTGTGTATCCAGAATGAAAGTAGCGTGTGACAAACTACAGTCTCCACTGAGAACGTCCTAAAAATATAAAGATTCTGTTCACATGTTCATTAAATGGAGTGCAAAAGACACTTTATACAGACAATCGGCACACACGTGTATATTCTCCACCAGTTACATACAAAAACACTGACTTGCATATCTGTAATGTTCAAGACATAAAATACTGTTCAGTACAAATGAATTCTCACCAATAAACCGCTTCTGAAAAGTCAGTGTGTTTCATCTTTAAGGAAATTTTGGTAACACTACAATTTGTAGAAACATGTATAGTATGGTATTCCAAACAGACCCATAGTTTGATCACAGTCTGAACACATTTGTAGACAAAATCCAAAATTAGAAAATAATTCTATTATGTTGAAAATATTATTTTCCGCATTCTGCTGAAATAGCCTACTTGAGGTCATGTGACAACAGTGAATTATACTACTGTTTGAAACATCTGTTGCATAATGCCTACTATTTCTTATGCTACTTTTTAAAAGAGAAGTATACAGTATACCGTAATAATTTCGTATTTCATTTCGAGCACAGCTATACTTCATGGGTCATGTTTTCATTTCCGACTAAACCACTAGAGGGAGGTGTTGGTATACTGTCGCGTGCTTTCTTCTTCACTGGCTCTCACGTTATTACGCAACAACAACAAACGTCAAGCTGTACAGATGGATGTCTGATAGTCACGTACGCGTTCTCTTCTTTTCATTCTTAAAACAGATGCCTGATGGTCTGAGCCGATAAAGTGAACTTTATCGTATCTAGTTTGTGTATTTTTCTGTTTGCTTAGCCTTTAAGAGAGAACTAGCGCTTTAGGTGTAACTTACTCCGTAGTAGCGAAGCTGTTATTTGTAGATTTGTGTTGGTCCTGTCCTGTCCTGTCGATGCCTCAGGAATCTCAGGAGGGGCAGCAATCGCTGCCGCTGGTCCGATCTCTGGTCAGCCGGATACCGGCCTACGTGTTGTTCTGTAACAACAGCCCGCGCGTCGTGAAGCCCGTCTGGATCAACTTCCGAGGGGAGCCGCAGCCATACGTAGATATACAGCCGTACACCGGTCGAAGAATGACAACTTATGTGGGTTCGTCAAATTATCGTTGAATTACGTTCAATATAAATTGGTAAAATTGCAGTATGAGTCGTTCAGGGTTATTTTAATCCTGTTACTTACACCTTAAGAAGTAAAAAAAATTATGTCATTCAATGCACAAAATAGCTAAACAGCAATTGTTTTTCACCAGGCAAACCAAACTATTCAGTCTTTGGATTGATTGACAAAGCGTACTTTAACACAATTGAGCTGTATTTAGTCTAAGAAGAAACTGCTTGAAAAAAAACTTTGACCCCAAGTGTTCGTGATTCGAAACCTTTGACATCTTGTTTAGACTTTTTGCAAGTGGTGTTCACTGCAGGAGAGGCTGCTCACTGCAGAGCCAATGGGTGGAGCTTGACGTCCAGCTCCCCCTTTCTGGATGTAATGGGACCCTACCCTATCCCTAAACCTAGAGGTGGAGCTTGGGGAAGGTCAAGCTCCATCCATTATGTCCAGAGACATTGTACACACAATGTACATTATGTTCCCCCTCTTTGGATGTAATTTGGCCATGGCCATAATGGGTGGAGGTAGATTCAACCAAACCCTAACTTTAACTATGACTCTATCCCTCCACCCATTAGATCAACCGAGGGGGAGCTGAATGTCATTTGGCTCTGCAGTGAGCACCATTTGCATTGCAGAGCCAAATGGGAGAAGCTTGACCTAGTCCAGCTCCACCTCTGTGGGTCTAAGGGGTGGAGTTTAACTTAATTAGGCTTGGGCATAGGGTAAGTTTAGGTTAAGAGTGTGATTGGACCTTCTAGCTCCACGAGCAGCCTCTTGTTTTTTAACTTCTTCATGGCAATAAAATGAATAATCTCAAAGATATTGTCTCTGTGCCTTAAAGGGTTAAGTAGTGCAATAATCTATTTGAATGAAATTTTCTTATACTGCATTTCTGTTTACTTCAGGACATCCATGGATGTTTCGGGATGCAGAGACTGACGATCCAATGGTAGTCAATAGTAAAGAGATGTACTTGCCCGCCTCCGTTGAAAATGGACAAGTCTCAATTGCGCACATCACATTGCCTGGTAAACATATTTCACTGGCTTTTGCTTAACTATTCAGGCTGATAACCAATTCACTCCTTTTATAAATTAGAAATCTTACACTAATATTGAGTAACTGTGATAATTGTATTTCTAGGCACGGCATAAATAACAACACTTGTAAAAGAAAAATCTTTTTTTTTTTTAATCTGGACCCACACAGACACACACACACAATTATATGATCATTAATCAGACTGTGAATCTGATATTGACTTTGCACTTAATATTTGTTTACCAGTGTTGACCTTGCGAGATCGCTGTCTGCAAGTTGTGAGGCGGTTGGTGCGCAGAGAAGATATCTGTCGGCTGGAGATCGCCCGCTGCCTACAAGATGACCTTGCTCGGAGACCCAGCATCCACGCCGATCTACGACGCGTTAGTCAGCGAGTGGAACAGAAGTTACTGGAGAACAGAGAACAGCAAAACAGATGAAAACATGAGCGTTAACTTTAGCGTGAACGAGGACATATTTACTGAGCAGACCTGTGCACCAGCACCATATACAACAGACAATGTAGTCTGACACTGTAAAATACAAACCTGAGATCAGGCGGAATATTTTCTTAAGCAAATGGATGCTTTAAACATGTATCAAGCAATGCTTTCAGGTCATTTAGGCTTTAATGAGTGGCACTGACTTGAGAGCCCACAGAAAGAACTTTAGAAAATGCAGATTTTGTGTGATTGTCTGTGTAGTAGACCTTGCAATAGCTCTCGGTATACTTTTACTCTGTTACCTTACCAATAACTTTATACTTGGAAAAATGTTCTTTGTAAATAAAGAAATATTAAATATTTGTAATTATATCTAACTTTCTAATTAAATCTAACGACTCTTGCATCAAGCCAGCATTCATTATCTGTCTATCTGTGAAAATATACATACAGTGCTTAACAAATTTATTAGACCATCTGTCACAATTAAGGGAAAACACAAATAGTTTAGGAATCTGTCCAAAACTTGTTTAAAATTTTTCTTTTCTTTTTGTCATTTGGCAAATAGCAAACTGAAACAGCTAAATAGTCTTTATTCACACATAATAGCAAAAAAAAACATAATATTTTCTATGGCATCCTTTCCTTTGGCCTTGATAGCAGCTTCAATTCTTGCTTAGACTGTAAGCAAGCATTGTTTTTATGTACAGTACTTTTCCACAGTCTCTGTTATTGACTTCCAAATAGTTTCTAGTTGTTCCCAAAGATTTGCTTTTGATTAAACTTTTGTGCGATCTATCTTTGAATCCACTAAATCCCAAATTTATTCAATAGGATTTAAGTCCAGATTTTGACTTGGCCAACTTTGACTAAAGAGCTTACACATACTGGTGGATTAACCATTACAGAAGCATATAATATATATATATATATATATATATATAAACTAACAGTATTGGTGATTACCAAAATATATATCACTAATACTGTTAGTTTAGGACAACTGTGACACAAACCTTACATTAGATGGTACATACATAACTCTTAAAGTGGTTTTGCTTGGTTTTAAACATCTAAGTTACTTCAAACCCATCTTAAATTACAATACATTTTCTAATGCATCTTTCGAACTAAAACTATAAAATTGTCATTTTGCTATAGTTGTTAAACTAGTGAGCACAAATGAAGCATGCATTAAGGTAGGGTGTTAATTATTTAACAATATAGATTTTAACCAAAATTGTGAACTGTTCTCAGGTCAAGGATTTTGTTACAGTACAACTGTTATGTGTCTCATGTTTTAAATGCTACAAGTTTACAATTCACTATTTTTAGGACCCCCTCGAAAACGAGATGGTGCATCTCAAGGGGTTTATCCTAATAAATAAATTTGAATATATATTAATTAATTACAATATTTGTTGGTCAAATCAACAACGGTTTGATGTTTCTATATATTTATATTAACTGTTTGTGCTTTATCGCTTTTGAACTGATTTAAAAAAAATATATATATATATATATACATTTAGCTGAAAAGCACTTTAACAACTTTACCCCATAGTCTGACAATTGTTCCTCGGTAGTTCTGGGGCGTGTTACGAAGATCAACGTGTTTGCAGCTTCTTCTTCTTTTTTTTTACAGTCTATGGTTTCAGCGAATTGCATCTTTTCTTCTTCTGGACATTGTGGGCAATAACGTCAGAAATGTTCAACGGCTTTTTTAAAAGAAAATTAATTCCTGTATCCGCCTTACAGAAAATTGATTTTCAGAAATAAACCCACCCTGGGATATACTACCTCTAAAGTTTCTATAAAATTATAAGTGATATTGCATTTAATCTTAATTCTGTAGGTCAAATTAAATGTTCATTTTCATATTCCTTCAACGTCTACACACATGCTTGAAATGGAGGAATGTGCCCACTCCATACTTCGTACGTAACCGGCGTTCACCACCCATGCTATCCAGGGTCCAGTACGGTGAGGACCGTTGACAGCAGTGAGCAGCAGTGAACACACATCGCTAATTACTTACGCACGTGATCCACCTGAACTTTCATCCGCATAACGTTAGGCCTTAAGGTATGTGATAATAACTTTGCTGTTGCTTTGACAGAATCGGGTTTAATCGAGACTAATTACACACTTTCAGACTGTTTTCCGTTCTTGTTATCGCCGTTATGTGCACTGACGCTTGGGGTCACAGTTTTAGGTCAGACATGAGGTTTCTGCTAATTACTAGCATCTGTAGTTAACTAATAGCTTTTTAAATAAACATTGTTAACGCGTTTTACAGTGTACACAGGTTTGTGCTTTTATTTAATAATGTATAGAAATAAATACATAGTATAAAAGAGCCGTCGATGTGTTTCTAACCTTTTAGCTAATCTAACGTTAAAGAAAATGCCTGTCTGCTCCCCATTGCGCTTTTAAAGATACGTGTAAATATTGAATTAAAATGATATATTAATTAAGTAAATATAACTCCCTTTTACTTCAGTGAGTCTCAAATGTCCTTGTAACTGCATTGGTTGCTGGACTGCATCTCCACTTTGAATTTACAGTGTTTTGGTTTGTTTTTAGTTTTGAACCTGGAAGTGTTCAAGCACTCAAAATTGCCGTAGAAACAGCTGCATCTGTTTGTTTGTGGTTCTGATTTTTGACCCATGTATAAATTTTCTTTCTTTCTTAAGATCCTAGTACGATGAACCGCAAAAGGGAAAAGGTGAAATTGACATGGCTGAATAAGGCGGTGAACTCCCCCAGAAAGCTCATGAAGAACAGTGTGGGTGTGGCACTGCCCACATGCTGGGATGGAGATGGTCAGGATAGTGGTATGAGCGAGGCTTGCTCTCCTGGCCTGAACACATCTACTGGGTCAGCTGGACTGGGCGACGTGGAAAACATGCATCTTACCACTCCAAAGCACTCTTCACGAAGTACACCTAAATCACGCTTAAAATTGACTGGACCCCACCGAGCACTCCGGAAAAAGAACAGTCCTGTTGAGGTGAGTAACTAAGGATTTTTTTTTTTCCAGTTTCCCCCAGTCAATATATAGAATATTTTATAGCGGAATTAAATATGTTTTATGCGACTTAGTAGTAGAAGTGTGTAGTTAAAAATTGCATGTATTTGAGAGGATTTCCATTGATTTGTGTTTTTTTGTGTGGCATTTAGGACACTGTTACAGGGCAACAATCCTCTGTTGAGCCTTCACCTCTCTCTGCTGGGAAAAAACACAGGAGTCCAGAGGATGGATTGAAAGTCATTTATCTCAAGGCGCTGAATGATGCAGTGGGGAATGCAGACAAAAAGTCATCATTTGGTGGGCCTAAAAGTCTATTTGCGAAGAAAACCCCAGACAAACCTGTGAAGGCAGAGGAGGAGGAAAACTGCTCTGACCTTGATTGCTGCTCATTCAGTGAGAAGAGTGAACCATTTTCTCTGTTCACGACTAAGGATGATGGGCCTCCCCCGCTGGAGATCATTGACACAGAAGATGAAGGGGAAGAAATAAAGCTGGACACCAGGGTAATGGATACTTCTACTTTTTTGGGGGGGGGGGGGGGGATAAATGAATGTTCAGCAAGAATTGATCACAAGTGCTAGTAAACACTTTTACATTGTTGCAAAAAAATACATTATATAATGACATTCTTTGGCATTTCTATTCATCAAAGAATCCTGAATTTGTTTTTTATCATGGTTTCATCAAGAAAATTGAATATTGATGATTAAGGACCATAACAGCATATTAGATTGATTTCTGAAGAATCATGTGACATTAGAGACTGAAGTTATGATGCTGAAAATTCAGCTTTGCATCACAGGAATTATTACATTTTAAAAAATATAGGAAAACAGAACATTTTTAAATTGTAATAATATTTCCTAATATTACTGTTTTTACTGTATTAATAAAATAAATGCTAGCCTGTTGACCAGGAGAGACTTTCCAAACATTAAAAAAAATTCAGTTTATATATATATATTAGGGCTGGGAAAAAATTAATCGTGATTAATCGCATCCAAAATAAAAGTTGTGTTTACATAAAATATGTGTGTGTAATGTGTATAATTATTTTGTATCTATAAATACACACACATGCATGTATATATTTAAGAAAAATGTGTTATTAATATAAAAAATATGTATATTTATATATAATATAAATGATGTATAAATATATATACAGTATATACATGCAAATATTTCTTAAATATATACATGCATGTGTGTGTATTATATATACAAAATAATTACACACACTACACACACATATATTATGTAAACAAAACTTTTATTTTGGATGCGATTAATCACGATTAATTTTTTCCCAGGCCTAATATATATATATATATATATATATATATAAAATCCTATATAAAGCATGTTTATTCTGGACTATTTTAAATGTATTTGAAAATAATTTATACTGAGTTGTCTCTATGCACAGAGTGTGATCCTAAAGCGGCCCGAATCGCCGGATTGGTCGGATGTTGAGGACTCGGAGCAGGTTGAAGTTTTCTCGCAGGATGAGTCCTTTGAGCCAAAGGGGCAACAAACAAGGCTTGAGAGGGATTGTGAGCTTGTGGACTTCATTGACACTCCTCCACCATTGGAACACAACCCTTACTCCTCTTCACCAGCAGCTTTAAAGCCTTCAACATTCTCACAAGCCCTTTGGAAATTAGAATCTCAAGGGGCTGACACTACCCCAACCATCCCAGCCAGGGATGTGGAGCTGTGGTCAGAGCGTCCGCCTCAAACTACAGCCTCTGACCTCACAACCCCCAAGAACTATTCGTGCTGTATGTCAGTTAGGCGGTCCCTCAAAATAAAGCACTCCATCATCAGCAGCTCTACTCTGGCCGATCCTTCTCCCGGGCTCAGAAACATCACCTACGCCCCCTTCACATCTGAAAGCTGGGATTGCTCTCCTCATACTACACGCAGGACTTCAGAATCTAATTACGCATCCTCACGGATGCTTCTCGCTGCTGACAGTGACGCTCGCAGGGTGTCGGTTGGCTCGGAGCCTCTTTGGTTGTCAGATTTGACCTACTCAAATGCAGATTCTGCAGGATTTATTGACACGCACTGTCACCTTGACATGCTCTATGGGAAGTTGGGTTTCCAGGGAAGCTTTCAAAGGTTTCGGCGCAAGTATGCAAGTAGTTTCCCTTTGGAGTTTAGGGGCTGCATCGCAGATTTCTGCAACCCACGAATCACAGAGAAAGAGGCCATCTGGGAGGGGCTACTGGCAGAGGAGAAAGTGTGGGGTGCATTTGGTTGCCACCCACATTTTGCCAAAGAGTATAACCACACTCATGAGCAAAGCATCATGCGTGCTATGCGTCACCCTAAGGCCATTGCGTTTGGAGAGATCGGTTTGGATTACTCGCACAAGAATTCCACAGACTCAAGGAAACAGAAAGAGGTATGGCAGACTGGATGATTACGTCCAAATGTTTTAAGCATGTACTTGAGAGAGTCAAAAGAACATAATTTCTGTCTTTTTCCTGTCAAGGTGTTTGAACGGCAGTTGCAGTTGGCCGTCACTCTCAGGAAGCCTCTAGTCATACATTGCCGTGATGCCGATGATGATTTGCTGAAAATTATGAAGAAGTGTGTCCCCCGGGATTACAAAATACACAGGTCAGTTCTCATAAAACAAACACTCGGGCCAGTTTTTTATGTTGGTAATCTCATCAAAATAAAAACAAAATAAAAAATATTTTACTCTAACATTAAACTAAACTCTAACATTAAACTAAAGTAATAAGTTGTATTTGGAATTAAACAATGAAGCATGTTTTAAGCATTAATATTTATTTTATGTATTTATTAATAAAATATTTACAATATTTGTTTTTTTCCTATTTTTAAATCATTCTGTCCATACAGGATCATTTTATCTGTGTTTTTCTTTTTTCTATCATATAAAATATTTTATATATATATTCTGCTTTCTTTTTTCTCTTATATTATGTAGATAAGTTTATCATTTATAAAATAGTATATCTTATATTTTGAAGTGAAATGACATTTTATTGTGAGATTCACTCTACTGCATAAAATGCCTACATTAATACTAGTTCAGTGTTGCCAATTTAGCGCCATTTTTACAAAGAAAAACTGACTAGCAACAAATCTAGCAAATTATTGTTTATTTTGTTTTATTTTTGGCTGCTGGTTAACATTAAGTTGCTTACCATTGATAGAAAGTATGTAAATGAGAACGGGTTTATTGGACATTCGGCCATAGATATATATAAACATATGCCTCATTAGCAGCTGTTTCTATGGGCCGCTATACGTAAGCGTGGGTCAAAACACCGGTCTGTGAACACTCGAGAGCAAGTTGACTGACCGTCTGCAAATGTACTTAGACGTATGAATATCTAAATCTGCAATAGACCTCAGCAGATGATTTTGCTAAACTAATAATACAACAAGACAGCTAACACGACATTAAAAATTATAAAAACCTATAATATTGAGTTATACATGAATATCAGTCACGTGACCTCTTACGTCAACCACTCTTTTTCCAGTTGGCTGCCGCCATCTTGAGTACCTACCAAATACTGTCTATGGTACTGACAAGCCTATTATCTTAAGTCTTGTTAGAAAACAAACAACAAAATAACTATTCTTGACTAATAAACATTATTTGACTTCTTTTTTTCTTAATTATTGTATGGAATAGAATAGCTCCTGCAGCAGGTGCATTAGCACAACAGGTAGCATAAAGCTACATGACACAATTTAATTGATTAATATTACACTTTTACTTAACTCACTTTAAAACACCATTGAGTATTTGTATCATATTCCGGTCGCGGCTTAAACTAGTTTCAAGTCAAACTATTTTTTTTAAATATGTTATATTTAGCATTGTATACGAAGCTATGGGCTATCCTTACCTAGGATGTATACTGTAAACATTCTTTTTTCATATGAATACCCCAATCGCAGGAAAATTGATTGATTGATTGATTGATTGACTTTATTAATCCCACACTGGGGAAATTCCTGTTACAGCAGCTCCAGTAAAATATAAAAGTAAAATAGAATACACATACACTCACCGGCCACTTTATTAGGTACACCTGTCCAACTGCTCGTTAACACTTAATTTCTAAGCAGCCAATCACATGGCGGCAACTCAGTGCATTTAGGCATGTAGACATGGTCAAGACAATCTCCTGCAGTTCAAACCGAGCATCAGTATGGGGAAGAAAGTTGATTTGAGTGACTTTGAACGTGGCATGATTGTTGGTGCCAGAAGGGCTGGTCTGAGTATTTCAGAAACTGCTAATCTACTGGGATTTTCACGCACAACCATCTCTAGGGTTTACAGAGAATGGTCCGAAAAAGAAAAAACATCCAGTGAGCGGCAGTTCTGTGGGCGGAAATGCCTTGTTGATGCCAGAGGTCAGAGGAGAATGGCCAGACTGGTTCGAGCTGATAGAAGGGCAACAGTGACTGAAATAACCACTCGTTACAACCGAGGTATGCAGCAAAGCATTTGTGAAGCCACAACACGCACAACCTTGAGGCGGATGGGCTACAACAGCAGAAGACTCCACCGGGTACCACTCATCTCCACTACAAATAGGAAAAAGAGGCTACAATTTGCAAGAGCTCACCAAAATTGAACAGTTGAAGACTGGAAAAATGTTGCCTGGTCTGATGAGTCTCGATTTCTGTTGAGACATTCAGATGTTAGAGTCAGAATTTGGCGTAAACAGAATGAGAACATGGAACCATCATGCCTTGTTACCACTGTGCAGGCTGGTGGTGGTGGTGTAATGGTGTGGGGGATGTTTTCCTGGCACACTTTAGGCCCCTTAGTGCCAATTGGGCATCGTTTAAATGCCACGGCCTACCTGAGCATTGTTTCTGACCATGTCCATCCCTTTATGGCCACCATGTACCCATCCTCTGATGGCTACTTCCACCATGTCACAAAGCTCTAATCATTTCAAATTGGTTTCTTGAACATGACAATGAGTTCACTGTACTAAAATGGCCTCCACAGTCACCAGATCTCAACCCAATAGAGCATCTTTGGGATGTGGTGGAACGGGAGATTCGCATCATGGATGTGCAGCTGACAAATCTGCGGCAACTGTGTGATGCCATCATGTCAATATGGACCAAACTCCCTGAGGAATGCTTCCAGCACCTTGTTGAATCTATGCCACGAAGAATTGAGGCAGTTCTGAAGGCAAAAGGGGGTCCAACCCGTTACTAGCATGGGGTACCTAATAAAGTGGCCGGTGAGTGTATATAAGAATAGAACTGTATTTACATAATAACCAACCTTATGTAAACAGACAATCTATAAACACAAATATACAAATAAATATGCTAATAAATAGAGGTAACATATTGCACAGTTGGAGGTGACACAAAGTAATAAATAGATAAGAAATATACATACTGCAAAATATTGTCCAGTGCTACTCAGCCGCAGCTAACAGTGCTAGTTCAACAACAGCTAACAGTCCTACATTGTGATGTTGCATTAAAAAGTCTAACTGCTACTGGGATGAAGGACCTACGGAAGCGCTCCTTCTTGCACTGAGGGTGCAGCAGTCTGCCACTGAAGGAGTCAGGGACGTGCACAGGGGGGTTGCTCAGGTTGCCCGGGCAACTGCCCATATGCCCTTCTCGACTCAGGTTGCCCTTCCGAGAAAAAAAAAAAAATCTTACAATGGATGCAGAATTTCACGGAGGCCTATATTAAAATAATAATAAAAAAATAAAAAAAATCGCAAAGCCTCATTCACTTCCATTCGGGCACCGAAAGTGAAAGTCAGTAAGGGAAGGGCAAACTGTTTACATGGCTGTAGCGCTGCACGCGACCATAGACTGCACGCGACCGGCGTAGGGCCACGCAAATTACTTAAGGCCCCGCCTCCATCTCGTGTCATAGCGCGTCAATTAATGTGTACAACATCCATGACAAAATGAATCGACACTATCCTTCTGGTCACGAAAAGAGGAAGAAGAAAAAACCATTAGAGTGAATTGCGGGAACAACAATCAGGTAAACTTGTGTTCTCTGCTCTCTAAGTTTGATGTCAGCAAAGTTTGATGTTTTTCGGTCTTGCTAACCTAGCTGGGCAGGCAGTGCATCTCTTGCATCACTTTGTGCCTGACAAAAGTGAGAGTAAAATACAATTATTTATTACGTTTGTTTTTGATAAACGACAAAGTGCAACAGTGTTTGTTTACTGCAGCTCAGAAAACATAACCACGTCGTGTGTGTTATCATGCGTTCATATGCGCGTGCACGAAATGAAACGCGCATTTTTCAAGCAGAAATATGTGGAGACCAGACATACTGTACAATATATGCACGTGAATGATGGCACTCCCAATCAAAGTACACATTATACTTTTAAAACAAGACACTGATTATCTAGTCTCAGTGTTAAAAACTCTAAACAACTACTACACTAATTATGCAAGATAGAAAGCAATGACAATTTGACATTGATTGACTATTGATTTATAGGCTATATTGAATTTAAAATGTTGATTAGCTGGACATACTGGTTAATATGGATGCACATCCCTCAGTAAATAATAACCATAAATCAAGAATTGCTTCAACATGCATAATAATAAATAAAAAAATCATACTGATGCCGAAAATGCCCAGGCTGTAGAGAGAACCAAAGTTAATCCCAAAAGCCAAAGCTCAGGGTTATAATTTATTATTTTCTTCTTATTAATGTTTAAGTTAATATTCACTTACTTAATAATATTCACTTGTTATCTTAACATTCTATAGAAAATACTCTATTCAATAAATATTGTTTGTTTGAACCTCATTCTGTTCTATACTATTGTTGTACTTATTCTTTGACTGTTTTGTTTAAAGGAGGGAGGATTGTATTGGGAGCACTGAAGTGTCAGGTGCGACTGTGGCAATGGCAAATGGTTTACATAGCTCATGACATCACGGGTCAGGTAGAGGCCCATTAGCAGAATTTTGCTTAGGGCCCCAGGGAGGTCAGGATCGGCACTGGGTTTAGCAGTCGATTCTGTTCCCGACCGGAATTCCTGTTCCCTTTACGCAATCATACTACAAATCATGCGTAGTTGCCCAGTTACCATACGTACCATCAGAACTGAATTCGAGCAAAAAGCACAATTGAATGTACGGGAAGCCAAAAGGTTAAAAAAGGATTGTATTTTTTCCCGAAATCTAAGCGTTTTTTTATTATTATTAGAAGCGAGTTTTTCCCCATCTGTCAATTCAATCCAGATTATTTATTTTCAAATTAAAAAATAAATAAATAATAATAATTTAAAAAGACAATAAACAATAATATGAGGAACTCTTTTTCTCATGTGTATTTTGGTGACATTTAACATATTGTTAATACATTTTGTATACTGTTTACAAAGTTGTATATCATAAACCTGTCATCTCTGACGTTTTGCAATCTTTATAAATAATAATAAGACCATAATATGAGGCATTGCGTTTGGACATAAACACGATCAGATAAGGCAATTTGTATGGGCAAAATTCAATTTAATATATTCCTTCATATAGCCCGTGAGTTTTTCTTTTTTGTGGGGGGGGGGGGGGGGGGGGGGGGGGGGGGGTGGGGGGTGTGCCCCTTTTTCAGGTCAGAGCAACTGCCCCACAAAATTCCTGTGCACGTCCCTGGAAGGAGTGGTGTTGCCCATAATAGATGCCAGCCTGGCTAACATCCTCCTCTCCCCCACCTCCTCTATGGTGTCCAGAGGGCAAACCAGAACAGAGCTAGCCTTCATCACTAGTTTGTTGAGTCTTTTCCTATCCCTTTCTGTGCTCCCAGCTCCCCAGCAGGCCACTGCATAAAAGATTGCAGACGCCACCACAGAGTCATAAAAAGTTTTTTAACATATCACACACAAATCACATATACTTCAAATCGTGCATTTATTAGCTTCTTGTTTCAGGTGAAGAGATGTTACTTTAGCTTTGTTATCACGGATGTCAGAATGAGGAGGCAGGATAATGGTCACGTTGAACCATGTAACGTTAAGATGATTGACAGCTGTACAGCGAATGAGCGCGCGCTGAGATCATAATTTGACGCAAATCAGGAAAAGGAGACACAGATCTCGCTAGATTCGCTGTTTGAGCTCTTCAGATCGCATTATTCAGTGGAAAATAAATAGAAATGTCATTCTGTATGACAAAATATTTTACAAATGTGATAATTAATCATTATTTCTCCAAAAATGAGCACCATTGGACTAATAACCCTGGCGGATGCTATATATCGCATGTATTTGAACACAAATGAACCGGAGAAGACGTGAATGAATGCTTTTAGCGATGATTTCTATTCAAAATAACGAACGTTACAGATTTATGTTGTGACTGCCGTATCGATCTTGCCGAATCAGGTACTCAAGATGGCGGCAGACAAGTTTTAGAAGTGAGTGACGTCAGTGACATCATCTGATATTCATGTAAATGATGCAATTTTGCGTCATCATTGATTCTCACTGTGAGTGACAACACGCTGACTGTTCCAAGATGGCGGGCGCGCCGACATGCCTGGAGCGGTCCAAGTTTGCATCTACCTACACATATCTATGCATTTGGCTATATATTATATTAAAATGCAGTATGTGAGCATGGATTGGGAGAGAAAGCGTATTACGTCAGTGACTTTTTGAGCAGGATTTTGCTACTTTCCATTTAAAATATTTTGCAGCACTGGTCAGAGTTTATATAGTCTACTAACCTGTGTTCATATGTTTGTTAGACACTGTTTCACCAACAGCTACTCTGTGATTGAGCCGTTCCTAAGTGAATTCCCTAACCTGTGTGTGGGTTTCACTGGACTGGTGACGTACCAACGCGCTATGGAGGTTCGAGACGCTGTGAAAAAAATCCCACTCAACAGAATCCTACTGGAGACCGATGCACCATATTTCCTACCCAGACAGGTATCAGTGCTAGTTACTAAGCACACATTGTTTGATTCCACTAACACATATGTGTATGACTTGTCTAATTTGTCATTCTTTAAAATACACATACATTCACCTCTTTTCCTCTCTCTGTAGGTGCCCAAGTCCGTATGCAGGTTTGCTCACCCTGGTATGGGCATACACACGCTGCGTGAGATTAGTGTGCTGAAAGGAGAGCTGCTAACCACAGTGTTGCAAACAGTACGGCAGAACACTAGACACATATACGGACTGTGATTGGAAACGCTGTGTTAAACTACTTATTTTATCAACTGAAGTCCTTCAAAATCTTAGTCCTGCTAGCAGTTTAGTCTTGCATCTTTGGCATTTTTTTTTTCTTTTTCTTTTTTTTTTCTTTTTAAACCTTTTGCTTGTGTTTACATAACAATGTCTTCAAGAATTGATATTCCAATGTACTATAGTGTGTGTTAGTAAGTGTATGAGCATTGCTACTTCAGTTTCTTACCGTGTTATAGGGAATTTCACATCAGTTAAAACCGTTAGCAATGATACATTTTAATCTCTTCAGTTTTGTTTTAATATGGTTCTCTGTTCTCAGGTTTCTTTGGCCGTGTGTTTGCATGCATGCTTACAAGTTATGTATGCTTTTGAGACATAAGTGACATAAAATGCCATCTTGTGTTTTCCCTTATATTAGAAACCAGTCATTTTCACATGAAAATGTATGTAAAAAGAAAATGTGAAGCAGATTGTGAAAAACCACAACAAATAGCTTTTACCAAGTTGTTGGTTTTATATAAATGTAACTTTTGTTTAAATAAATGTATATGCTACATGAATGGGTGCATGAAATTATTTTTTTGAGAAAGACAAGGCTGCTTTTCCTTTTGTGACTCCATTAAAGGTTTAGTTTCATCTAACACAAACATGACCTTGAAACCCAACCCATGAGAGTGAGCAAAGAAAATAGAAACCAGAGGCAGAAAGTTATTTCTTTGTCATCCTTTATTTGGTCAAATCAATGTGTTAGAAATTGATTTAAACTGTAAATCATTTTTATGATTTCTAAGGAGTGGATTTTTGTAGATTTGATAGATCTGGTCAGAATTCTGAAACAAATGAGAACATACATTTAGCGTGTTAGTTTGAAGAACACTAAAACTATTCAAATACAACATCAAACAGAATTTTCTGCCAGAAAGCACTTTTAGTTAAATCTGGGACATTTTCTGGAAAATTTTCCATTTGTTTGGATCTGTTCTTAAAACACACATTTAGCTCACCAAATGGAGAATCACTAAGAAGATTCACAAGAACCTTCTGCAGCACAGGACCGTATTTCTCATATTCTGCTTCACTCAGAGACACGGACAGTTGGAACGGAGCGCTCATCTAAACGGGTAGTGAGAACAAAGTATGACAGTAGTAACTCATTAAAATCCTATTTAAATGTGCACTTGCTGGTTTTACCATAAACTGATCATCCTCTTTAATCACTGGGATCTCTGACTCAGCAGCATCTCTTCTGCCCACCTGTGGTGGCCTTCGACCCTTGAAATGGGACACACAATATATCTGATGCCAGACTTCGAGCATGAATTGAAGTAATCTTGACCAACTTTATTTTTTAAATTGAGTTCCTAAAATTGGTTAACTCCAAACAAACTCAAGACACATCCACTAGACATATGCTCACCTGTGGTTTCTGATCAGGACTGAGGAAGCTGGTGCCGCCTCTTACAGATTCGACACATAAGGAAAGAGCACATAAGAGCAGGAACATGTGGCTGGCACGACTGCGCAGAGGCATCCTGGGAAAGTCACTCGGTTTACTTCTGTTTTATGACAACAATCTTAATGACTGCACTTTAAAAGTAAAATTATTTTATATAAAATCAATCAATCAATCCCACCTTCTGTAATGATCAAACTGCTTCAGTAGGTCTGCACACAAAGACCTGCTTCTCACTTTTATAATAGCCTTTGGTTAACAATTAGCATTAAAATCTACAAATGAAACTGTGAAAACAAACAGAACTAAAAATCCCTGATTGTTACTGTATGTGAATGTGTGACAAAGATTTACCTTAAGGTGATATGAATATGATGACAAATAAAGTAATATGGTGATGTGGCTGCTGTGTCAATAGGTGTTACTAGACCACTGAACTATTGCCTTAGCAGGTTAATTTTACAGACCTGGCAATTCCTCTGTAACCGGAGCAAATATTTGGTACGAACACACACTTTTAAGTGGACTCACCCTTGTACATGGTTTCCAGCATACTCTTCCAACATAATGATCCTACCCATAACTGATATGCATGCACTGTTTTTATGGCAATTAAAAAACTTATTTTACACTTTATTTGTATGGTTCTGAAAAAGATTCATTTTATTTTTTATCAATAATAATAATGTAGCATAAAGTACCACTTTTATGGAGAATATCAGGTTATGGGCCATTACTTACTTAGCCAGTCAGGCTGGGATACTAACTAAACCAGCTAAAACCAGCTGAACACCAGCTTGACCATCTTAAACTCGCTACATCCAGCTTTCCCAGCTTCGTCTGGTTGCTTTTTTTGTACATTTCGTTGAGTAACGCCATATTTTGGACATTTAACATGGTAGAAACATGTTTTATTTACGCCATAAAAATGAAAAACTGGTTTTAAAATATTGTTGTAGTTTGACCTCCGAGACGGCAGATGGCAGGCTACATTTATTCTTTTCAGCATTTTTTTTCTTCGATACTGTTTTGCTCTCTGAATGTCAGTGCTGGCCTGCTATATCACCTAATCAGCTACAGTTAACATGGATAAAAAGAAGAAACCATACAATGTTACAGCGTCATCGGTGAATAATTTGTATCTTATCTCTTTTTTGAACAAGACACTTTCCACAATTTTAGTTTTGTTTGTGTGTTACAGTTAGCTTAGCATCACAGCTGACAGTAGACTTTCATTGTGTACCTGTTTTTAAACTGGGAATGGTGGTCCGATCCTAAAATCTTTTCGACAACGTATACTTTTCAATTTACATTTCAGCTGGTTGATTTGAAAGCGGAATTATATCGGAAGCAGGAGAAATTTAAGCACGACAGACTTGGCCAAGATGCAGGAGCAGCACAGAAGTCCAAGACAAAAATAAAAGTAAGAGACGGGCAGTTCATATTAGATGTGATCATTCTACCATTATACGCCTGTTGTAATTGTAATTGTGTGTTTATGTGCTCACAGAAGCCCAATATCTGGACTAAACAAAATGAAGGAGTCAATGTACGAGCGGAGAGGGACGTTCAGCAAACTGTTGAGGAAGAAAACACACTGGACAAATCCAGGTGAATAGGCGTACACTTTTAACGGGATTTGATTTATTTGAATCTTTTTTGGAGCTATTCATAGTCCAGTACTACATTATTCTGATTCTTTATATCCTCTTCATCAATTCATTTTCTTTGGCCTGCTTCACTAGGCACAGAGTGGCTCAAAAAGTATATAGACACTAAGTTGTATGAATGTCAGCATATAACCCTATAACAAATAATCAAATTTGATTTTCAAAAATGAGTTCCATGAAAAGATCTAATCTGTTTGCAGTTGACACTTTGTTTTTACTTTGTTTTTTGCAATGAATTTTATATGTGTGTTTATAAGTGTGGCTTAAGTGTCCAAATATTTTTTTGAGGCCAGTATGCTCCATGAGTTTTGTTTTTTATAACAACCTGTTGTCATAAATGATAAAAAAAAAAAAACATTTCGTAGTTTTTATTTTATTTGCTGCAGACTGTTTTACATTCACATATTAAAAAATCATACACAATAAAAATACTAATGAAGATATATTATTATTAAAAGGTTTTTCATTTAAATGTCTTTTTTTTTTTTATCGGTATCCAAGTTTTTTGGTCACTTTGTTTTTATTAATGTTATATAATAATCTGAGACCATACACCCGGTTTCAAATGCTGATATATTTTAATGACTGTAGGATTTTTTTTTAACAATATAATGATGTAAAAAAAAAGAAGTAATGTTTCAGATCCTTCTAATGGTACTCTAAATCACCTTCATTGTTCAGATTGTGTTATACAATTATATTAATGCTCTCCTGATGAATTTTTTTCTTATGCAGGCAAAAATTGGAGGAAAAGGCTCGTCTTTATGAACAGATGACAAAAGGAGATTTCCCAGGTATATGCTTGTTGACCATCCCAAATTCAAACATTTCACTTCTTGAATAATTTTTTACACTGCTTTGGGTGTTTTGTAAATGTACTGATATTGAAGTTGACAATTTCTTTTTATATTTAGATGAGGAGACTGAAAGTCTTTTTCTGGTGGACTTCACCCAGAAGATCATCAACCAGAGGAATGAACCACAGACATGCACTCCAGGGGACCGAGATGGAGAGGACTCTGATGTGAACGTCCCTGTTCCAGACCCACAGAATGCAAATGAAGAATGGTACGGTGTGTTTATAAATATATTTTGAACCTGATTACGAGGCAATATGATTTGTACTCATCTACGGGTTTTCTTGCTTGCTTTCTCTCTCTCTCTCTTGCAGGGTGGACTATGTTGATGCATTGGGACGTTCTCGAAGATGTTTGAGGAAAGACTTACCTGGTTTTCAGAAAATGGACCAAGATCTCCAGAACAAGAGGTACGTTTATTGTTCTTACCTTTGCTGTGTTTTATTTATTTATTTTTTTGTATCTAATTGCCATTGGTTGTGCTCAATATATATCTATTATTATGCACAGGGTGACTGGCGCTGACAGGACGCTGTTATCTGATGACATGAGGAGAGAAATGCAGAGAGAGCAGTGGGAGAAAGAGGAAGAGGAGCAGATGAAGAGACCTGTTGGACCCATTCACTATGAAAATATCAGAGAGCAAGGTGATGGAGAGGAGTGATCTCTAGACACACCGAAACCTGTCTAATGTGTAGAAAATGCCTTTAAGTAGTGCTTCTATGAGAGTGTCTCACATGAGTGTTTTGTGTCCGTTTCAGAGGCCAGAGAGCTGGGTGTTGGGTATTTTGCTTTTGCCCAGGATGAGGACCGACGTAGAAAACAGAGAGAAACTTTAGACATGCTGAGAGATCAGGTCAGAACAACAATTAAATTAGTCACAAACTCTTTTCCAAAGCAGAATGAGCTGCCTACCTAGACAGCATTGTAAGTGTGCATACGAAGCAAAGACTGTTCCAAAAATATAGGCAGCATGATGTTGCCTTCTAAGACACTTTGTTTTAGCCCTAAATTAGGCAGTATCACATGTATATTTTGCTAAGAAAGCACTTCCAAAATGCATTGAGACTTGAGGTGCACTGATATGAAAATTCTGGCTGATGCTGATAAGCCCGTTAAATATTGTGATCCATATTATTATTATTGACCATTAAAAAATGGCCAATATTACATTTCTAAACCATTTTGTATATACTATATAAATGTAGGGTAAATCACTAAAAACTAATACTAATAATAAAAATTAAATACAAGTGAATATAGGCATCACAATAATATATAATTGATAATATGAAAGTTAATTGAGTTATATTATTATTGTTATTAAATATTAACACTATTTTTAAACGGTGTGCTTAGCTTCTATACTATTGGCTACGATTGAAACAGTCTTTCTTCCTCAGCTTCTCTACTATTGGCTGTGATTGAATCAGTCTTCTTCAGCTTCTCTACTATTGGCTGCATTTTAAATTATTAAGGTTTTCAATTTTTTTCTCTCTGCAGACCACAGAACAGCGCGGCAAACGCGAACAACTGAAGGATAAGCGGAAATCCCTTCTTGAAGCTCGACTCGCTAAAGTGAGGATGAGAAGGATAAAGAAGAGCAAGCTGGAGCCAGGGGATGAAGAAGATGGTGTGTTGCTGAATATTTAACAAATCTTTATATGCTTTAAAGCATATTAAACGTGTATCTGTATGTTGGTGGTTATTTCTAAAGAATGTGAGGATGTTTTTGGATCATGTCTGATGTTCCCTTGTAGCTCCTGCCGCTGATGGTGCTGAGAATGATGAAGAAGTTGGACCTCCAGCCCCTGCAACAGTGCCGAAAGTGGAGGTGGAGATTCAGGAAAGAAAAGACACCAAACCTGGCGTTCCATACGTAAGAGAGTGGGACAGAGGCAAAGGTACATGACCTGACACATAAATGCACGGCACATCCCTTTCCTTCCTTTTCATTTGCTCCAGTGTTTACATTTGCTGTTTTGAAGAAAATGCAACATAAACATTTATTTCCTTTTCCAGAGTTCTCCTGGGGTCAGTGGACCAGTCTTCGTCGAGAGGAGCGAGACTCCGATTTTGCTCCTCCCTCTGCTTATTTCGCAGATGACAGATGGGCCAATCACAACAGAGCAACAGACAAAGGGCAGGCTAAAGGAAAACCTGCCTTCAAGTGGTCTGAATCCCAAAGGGCCACCGAAAGAGACACAGAGAACATATCTACCCCTAGTCATCCTTCTGACATCCCCACATATGCACAACCTTCTCAACCACAGACTGCTCAAACACAGAGTCTGGATGACCTGTTGTCGTACTACAAACACTCCACGTGAACAAGTCAGAAAATCGTTTAGGAAACTATAGGAAATGGCAGGCTCCATCAAGCCTGGTGCATTATGTCAGTCTTAAGCTGGAGGTGCAGTTAGACTTTATGTAAAATGTAACTGATTTGCAAAATTAGAATAAAGAATGACCAGATTTTTGTATGATCTTTGTGCATCTTTTATTCCACCTCTATCTTCCTATAGTCTCAGTGTCAACCATTTTTTTTAACCATAATTCATTTTGCCATCAATTCTTTCACCAGGTTGTAAATGTATTTATAAATAAGAATATAATTAACTTTTGTCTATAAAACTATTTGTCAAGCAAAAACATTGATTTAACCAAAGCTACTGTTCTCTTCATCAGTTTTCTTGTTCTTAATAATTGCGAAGTGTCATTCTACTTTGTGTTTGTCACCATCTTTTTCTTATGTTTTTATGCATGCTATGAACACTGCAGTCATGTGCAACTCATAAACTTTGCCCAGTGTAACTGTTCTTAGTTACTCAGTAGCCTATAATGAGTGTGCTTTACAAGTTACTAAGTTTGAGTGTATTCCTCATGTCATTTAAAAGAGGACACTAAACTATATATTGGATAAAATTTCACATACAACCAAATCGCAGGACCATAGTGACCTTTGATCTGAAGGATATCCTGTCTCCGCAAGAATGTGCGTGTGAGCATTTTGTATCAACTGGAAAGAGAGAGGAAGGGTAAGAAAGTAGAGGTGACAAAGAGATGACCATAAAAAAGGGTTTATGTGGAAGATTAAGAGAAGAGTTTACTTTGGTTTCTCATATGTCTCTGTTTTCTCCCTTTTGAAGATTAAACCAAAGTAGGAAACCTGTTGAATTCCAGTGAGATGGTAAGTAACCATTTTAGGTTGTGATTATCACATGACCATGTAGTAACATGCTGTTCAACCATCTGCTGTTTGTAGACAATTTGTAATGAATGCTTTAAATATCATGAAATGTAGTTTTTGTAGCATTTATTAATCTGGTTTCATTTATAAATGTCACATCATTATATAGATATTTCATTAAATTATTTATAAAATGAATTTATACTGCAGAAATGCTATTGTTCATTGTTAATTCAAGTTCATTCATGATTCATTAATTATTGTTAAACATGCATTACTGTAAGTAGATAAGTATTGTTCATTAGTTCATGATGCCTAATACACTAGTTTATGTTACTGAATTGATTGAACCTATAAAAAAAATGTATATAGGCTACTGGAATATTATTATTACCTCAAGAGATTTTAGCTCTTTTAAGTTTCACATCACAGATATTTGCTTATAAAACCCCTGTAAGTGTTTATAATAGTCACAATTGATTGCAAGCATTGATTTCATTTCTTGTACTGTGTAAATGAATGACTGTGAGTGTTTTAGGAAGGTTCAAGTGCAGAATCAGCACTAAGTGTAAGTGCGAACAGCATCAGAATCACCGATTTGACTCAGGATGGAGACGTTCTGACGTTTGCCATTACTTCCCAGAAAGTAAGATGCGTAGTAAATGCATAAAACATGTTCTTAATATGTTTTGTGGAATGCTTAAACATCATTACTTCATTTTTTCCCTCAGTTGAACAGCAGTGGAGGGGTGTGTGTTTTTCGGGCACATGAGGACTTTGAATGGCTTCAACAGAGTCTCGTCTCACAGGAAAATGTTCCTGGGCTTCAGGGAATTATAGTGAGTGAATTCTCTAATCATTATAGGCTCATTCCGTGTCAAATCAACCAAATTTTGAAAACTTCCCTAGTTAAAATTATTGATTTTGTTAATATTTTTTCTGAAGAGAGACAAACATTAATTGTGATGAAAGCCAAAGTATGAAATGCCATGAATGCATATCAACTGAGTAATAAACTATTTTGTAGAGGAGGGTCAAAATGCACACCTATAATTTGTTTTCAGCAGATGCTGCCATCTTTCAAGTCATTTTTGTCATTTTGATCCCCCTCTACAAAATAGTGGATAACTCAGTCAATATTTATTCATGGCATGTCATATTTTGGTTTTCATCACTAGTATTTGCTAATAGTGCCATCCAGGCCAGCTGACAGTCTTGCCTGGGCCCGGGACAAGATAATCTTAGATGGGCCCCCCCACGCCCAGATCTCTCCTTTTCCCTTGCTCTTCCTCTCCTGTTCCTCTCCTCTGCTCTTACTCTCCAGTTCCTCCACCAATTACAATTTTCTAGGCCAATTCTGATTTTAGATCAGAATTCCGTTTTTCTAACCACTTTACAGCAGACTTCCATTTTTATTTATTTTTATAAAACACCATATACTTTTACCCAAACTGAATAATAAAAACACGTTTAAATGGGTACATTTTCTATAAATGTCTTCATTTTCTTTTCTGACATAGCCTACTGCAGTTCTTGTTAAAACACACTAGACATGCAAAATCTGTGCATTTTGGGCACTTTTTGTGTGAAATCACATTTATTTTTTGTCCATCAAAAGTGTGCTTTCACTTTTAATTAAGCATGAGCAAACATAGACTCGGATCTGGCCCATTATCTGTTCACCGATGCCGACAGTTCAGCCGGCTTTTTATTTATCATCTCCATAGATATATCTAGTAGTAAAGCTAATGCAAGGGCTAGAAATCAATGAATTCTTTGCTAATACTTCCTCGTCATCATGGAGAGCAGACGCACCGCTTTCTCCTTTCCACAAGCGCTTGCTCTCTCCCGTGGCGTCTGTCGTTGGTTGCTATGCAACAATGAACTTGGCGCGCCTGGAAAAAAAGAGCGCGCCGCGTCGCTATTATGAGCTAATAATCAAAATATTTCGATATGTGGCTCTTTCCTCATTTCTTATCAACAAGTGGATTTACAGCCACCACATCAGCAGCACCGCCGGTCGCCATGTCTCAGCGCTTTTATGAAGAGGACGCAACTGCACGCGCTTCGGGCATGAACGCGCATCAAGTAGCCTACCGCTGTTTCTTACCTTGCTCTACGTTGACTTTACTAACATTAGTTTCAGCTTCACCGTCACCAACTTTTTTAAAAATATTTGTTTATGACACCTCTAAGGCCTCTATTTTCTTCTTCTCTTTTCTTTTCTTTTCTTTTCTGAGCACAGGACTTGTGCTGACCGGACATTTTGAGCGTAGACCTTCAAATCAAATGACAACATCAAATTTTGATCAGTGGCCAACCCATTTTTGTTTTGGGGGGAGGGAGGGGGGGACTTGACCACTATTTCAAGGACAATTACGAAGAAAACAAATAAAAAGCTTTTATGTAACTCAAATACTAGATATTTTTTCCACAAATATGCCTATTTTATTTATTTTTTTAACAATTATTCCATAATTTAATGAGGGCCCAGTTCTGCCCCCCCCCCTACCCTGGGCCCGGGACAACAGACCCGTTTGTCCCCCCCTGTCGGCGGGCCTGGTGCCATCTAGTGCAAATTCTGAGTATGGGTTACAATTCTTGGCCTTCACATGTCACTTTACTTTATGTTAGTCTTTCTTCAGAGAAAATATGAACAAAATGAAACATTTGAGCCAGGGACCTCTGATTGAGTTGGAATGACCCTACAGGCATTTGCTTATTAATTTTCACTGTAAAACCACAAGATCTATGAATGGGGAAACATTATATGAGATGATTTTATGCCCACAGTTTCCGCCTTTGCCCCCTAAAGCACTTCCATTGCAGTCAAACATGCAGACCAAAGCACTCAAACAACTTGGTATGTATTATTTGAATATGCACAGGCAGTGTGTGTGTGTGTGTGTGTGTGTGTGTGTGTGTGTGTGTGTGTGTGTGTGTGTGTGTGTGTGTGTGTGTGTGTGTGTGTGTGTCAGTCAGTCAGTCAGTCAGTCAGTCAGTCACCTTCATTTACATAGCGCTTTTAATAATATGGACTCTTTCAAAGCAGCTTTACTGTGATAATAGGAAATTAAAGTAACAGAGATTGTTTTGGCTTTACAGCAGCTCTAGAATAAAGTCACTGTCCATCTAAAGTTAGTTTTGATCGATTCACTTCCATTGCAAAGATCATTAGTTATTAACTTAGGGGCCACTTACACGACACCGTTCTAACTGAAAACCCTTAACGCGCTCCGGCCGCTAATTCGCAGAACAGAGCCTGGTGGCTCGAGAACGAGAATGCAAGCCTTGAAGAAAAAAAAAAAGATATATATATATATATATGTTGTGTGTGTGGATGATTTGATACTTTGTTTCTTATATAACACATTTTATGTTTTTCTGTATGTGTTCAGGATTCCTGGCTCTAGGACAGGATTGGCAGGGTTATTGTAAGGCTTTGGAGTTTTATCTCCAGCAGGTGGCAACACACCCAACTCTCTGCAAGTGCAAAGCACTGGACAGCTTTCTTATTAACTCTGAGGTTTACTATAAACACACACATACACAGAGTGACTGTGATTTTTCATTAATTCAAATTCTGTATCACAGCCTGATCTATGATTGATAATACAATGCAACTGACCAGGCTAACCTGTCCTGCTGAGGTTCCCAGCTAAAACTGAAGGTAGTAGTTGTGTTTTAGAACATAGTAGCTGGTCAGTATCTGGTCAAGTGTCATTTAGATGGTTGATTAGCTGTACTATCAGCTGGAGGAGACCTGGTCACCTATATTGGAACAAATCAGCTACTATGCTCTAAAAAGCAGTCTGAACAGTTTAAGCTTGCATGATCTGGTTTGTTTTTCAGCTGTGTTCTTGACCAAGCTAAACCAGCTCCCTCAGCCACCTAAACCGGTTAAGACCAGCTTTTACCCGCTGGAAACTAGCTATCATGGTTCAAAACAACAGCTAATTTTTTTTTTTTACCGCAACATTCCCCAGCATGGAGAAGATCTTTGCTTGAAACTTCTGTTTTTATTGTTTGACCATTTTGCTGTTTTTCTGTCATCACCTTAATCAGTTTTGAGGGAAAGATGACTAAATCTTTGTTGATAATCTCACGTTTGTCATTGCATGTGTTGTTTGACTAGTCTCCTGGAAAACAGAGAGGCAGGAAAGGAATCTTTAATCGCCTCAGTCAGGCTGTGGAGGAGATGAGGAAGGAAAGTCATAAGGTATTTGTGTAAAAGTTTGTTGTTCATGTGATTTATGCGGGTGTTCATCCCATCCACCGCTGGGAAAGTCTTTTGTACCAAACACAGCACTGTGTAGTGATATGATATACGACAATATAAACTTTATAGATATATGAATGTGATTTATATCATGTGTAAAATGTAATATCCCCAGGATGTGGACAACTTCTTTCAGAACGAGAGAAATAAAAACACAAATATTGCCGCTTTGTCAAAGGTTGCCACAGAGGTACACTATTTAAGCTGTTTTTCAGTTTTTATCTGGCCAGTGCACTGTTAGTCATTTTATAATTCAATGTGCAATATTGTGTTCTTCTCTCAATAGAAATTAATCGATGTTGTGATGACAGAGCAAAGTAAGTCACTGCAAGAAGTTTTCACACATCATTTAGGAATACAATTAGGCTTATATATCAGTGTGTGTGTTTTACAGAGCTTGCTTTGGCCTGTGGACATTTCTCCACATCTCTTCATCTTTGTGTGAATCAGGACGATGCAGCTGCTGTAGCTTTCTCCAAGTTAGAATTTACTAAATAAAATTATCTTTTGTTTCTGCATTAATGTGCATGCTGAATAAAGAGAGTTTATGTGAATGTTGGTTATTATGAGAGGATAATCAGTTTATTCAGATGTTGTTTCTTTAGGGTTTGTTTGAAGCTGTCTGATATTATTGAGGCAGTAAAGGTAAGTGCACTTTCTCATTCTTTTATGTATTTTTATAAAAAAAATATTGAATACCGGTACTAAAATTTGGTTTTTTTGTTTTTTTTTTACTTTAGCAAAACTTTGAGAAAGTTGCCAGTAACAACCTAACCACTCTTGGTTTGGGTCTGGACCTGGAGTCTCGCTACCAAGAGGCAGAGAAAGTATGTTTTATAAAATGCCTAAGCATGACTTTGATTTTTATGCGTGATATTGCTTTTATACAATAGTAACTAACCTTTTAGATACAGTATTACCAGTGACTTTGTCTATTTTTGCTGTGCCACAAAAAATAGCTCTAAACAAAGACACCATAGAATTACTGTTGCGTTTTTCATTCCTGGATGATGCATCATGTGTGATGTGTGATGATGTAACTTTCAGACAGAGGTGCCACCATAATGCACAAGTCACAGACAGATTAGCCTATTTTTTTATTTTTTTATTTTGAGGTAGATTCTATTTTTTTCTATTTTCTGTTTATATTTTAATTTAGTATTTTTTATTTTATTTTTTCCAGTTATTTATTTCAGTTTATTTTAGGCTACATCAAGTTACACTAAATGAAAATGAGACTTGTTGCCTTACAAACTAGTAAGTTTTAGTTTTAGTTAACTATAATAACAGGCTAAAAGACTGGAAAACGCAGGCAAGTGGAGTGATACAGTGAAAAGTCTTTGTGCTGCTGGAGTCAAGACTGTATATCTGATCTCCTAGTCTCAACCAATCAAATTTGAGGGCTGGAACTATTTGTTTAGAAAACTCATGTCAGTATTTAAACATAAGCCCCAAAACAATAATTCAGTCAAGTGTGTTCAAACTCCTGCATATATATATTTTATGTTGAATGCAGGTTTGTATGAAATGTAATGAAATCGAACCCAAGGCTGCTGTGGTAGTAACTGTCTATTTCTAACAGGAGATGCTCTTCAGAAGAACCTGCAAACTGATAGAGCTGGAAACTGTTAAGAAGAGTACAGAAAAAGCCAAGGCCAATAAGAGAGAAGTGGTATGTTTTTAATGTGTATCTTTCATATATTCTCTGTCCACATACACACGTCCACACTAAAAGTGTTCACATCATATTTAACTGGTAAAAATAACTTTTTGTGTGTGATACTGTAGATGGAAGAGTTTCAAAAAGCTGTTGAGAAAGAGTTCAACCTGATTTCATCTGTGGCTAAAGAAGAGGTAAATGCTGTGAACCCAAAGAAGATTATCTGCTAAATGTGTTACACTGGAAACATGACTGACATGACTTCTGATTCTTCATTTTAAAGTAATGTTGATTGCGCATTTTACATTTATAGAGGGTATATTATATATTTATTGGACTAATGTGTGTGGCAGATTGAGCGCTTCCATAGCTCCCGAGTGAATGTGCTGAAGAACTTCCTGATTGGCTGGTGTGAACAGCAGCTCAACACAGCGAAGGAGTGCGCTGAACTCTACTCTCAGCATCTCGAAGCTTGCAGAAACATGTATTCAGAATGAATGAAACAAACAGGTGGTAGATCATACGAATATTTCTGGTAATGTAATAAAACTGTTATGAGACTGCTAAAAATAGAAATGATATAATGAAATGATAAAAGTGCAATGTAAATTCGGTTTATTCTCATCTTGTTTTAAATCAACTGTCCTCTTTAATCTGATTGTAGTATAGCCTACATAATGTTTTCCAGCTTTTAATGCTGAGAAGTCATCTAACTTTAACTTCCAGTTCCACAATTCAAAGTTAGACTATAGATTCAGAAGTAAACTTTGTCCTATGTAAGCTTGCAGTAAAGCAATAAAACCCATGACTGTTTCTCTGTCAATTCTGAGGTGATGGTTTAATAATACTCCACAAAAAGAAACATTTATAATGAGTTGGTGTTCGTAAAATAGAGTCAGAACCATGAGCACGTTATTAAGGTAGATATAGTTTATTCCAGCTGGGAGACCAGTGGACATTGCCTAAGTCTTACAAGTTGGTCATCTAAATTATTATTATTTTTTTTAAACTTGCATGGTTATACGTACTGGGTCTCAGCTTATAAATGAGTTACTTAAAAATGTAGACTGGTCTAATATGAATTCGAAAAGTAAGATTGATGATAAATACCTTGGCTAACTGCTAGTTGGTCAGATTAGTTTTTAAGACACAGCTTTAAAATAGAGGCTATATTTATGCAACTGGTCCCAGTGTGGATAAAGCAGACCAGGAGTCAGAGTTGCAGTCAAATGCAAAAGAGTTTAATAATCACCATGTTTTCCATATTCTAAAGTCTGAAGTCAGACACACAGGCGTACCTATAAAAGTATAAAATACAAAGTCACTATAGTAAGGTTCAAGAAACCTTTACAAATATGTGTATATAGTAAGGTAAATATAGGTAAAAGTAAAATACAGGCAATATATATATATATACTACATATGAGACACACACACGCAGCATATTTTAAACTGCTTATTCAAGAAGATAAATAAAATAAAAATCTAAAAACTTTAATAATGATTCTTGATAATTCTTGATTAAATGTAGAGGGTGAATTAACTGCACATTAATTAAGTAGTCTTACCTGTTATGAGGTAGTACAGAGATGACAGGATGTGTAAAAATATCCACATATTTATATATGCCATGTTGACCTCTTCAGATGCAGCTTTTACAAGTCACATATCCTGTCAGCTCTCGTTTTTATGGGTAAAGTTGAGGAACTCTTGCACAATTAACAGTTACTGTAGCAAGCATTGAGTCACTGAAACATACAGACATAAATGAAGGTCTTGAATGCTATATATTGTAATAATTATAGGCCTACTATTATAAGTGTTGCAGTGTTCATCTTGTTGCTGTTTTGTACTTAACACTGCTAATCTGTTTTTGAATAACATTAAGGTAGCATATGATTCAAATTATAAAATAGTTTTAAAAATGACGTTAAATGAAATTAATTTATTTGACGAAATTACCGTTTAATAAGCTGGATAATGTTCAGTATATTAATGGAGAGTTAATCGAAATAACACATCTGAAATATTTCTGAAATGTATTGGGTAAATAACTTTGGGTTAAATTATTGTGAAGATGGATATACAAGAATATAAATGCAGTGAAAGTTAATACTGACATTATACTGGGGTGGATCAGCATGAGCAGAAAATCAATATGATGATGGATTTTCTATTGTACACGAGCTCAAGCTGTGGTTGAAATGGAATTGACTCAGTGACTAACTTAATATCCAATTTAATACTCAATTATGTATTACACATTCATTTCTTATCTAAAAATATATTTTAACCCATTTTCAGTTGCAAATGTCAAAACATTACCAAATTTCAGAATTCATGCATCACTTAATTTAGTAACTGAATAAAATGTAATGCTGTTCAAGAAAATATTTACACACACACAAAAAAAAAACCCACACACACAACTGTTAACAGATTCATTTCGTTCATAAAATCTAAAATTTATTGGAATGCAAGACATTCTCTTTGAGCACATCCCAGCATTAAGATAACATGTACAATCAAGTCAACGAGAACATTTCCGTAAACAAAAAAGCCATGGAGGGGACAAAAAAAGAGATAATTTAGTAGTTCAATGTCAAGCTGGGAAATTTCTTCATTCCTCAACATTCCAAAGATGAGTTTACATTCTGAATTAAATATCGACATTCTCCTATCATCTGAAGGCAAAGTACAGCTGTAGCCCATTCATATTAACAGCCAGTGTCTTACTGTACCTGCTCAACTAATTTTATTAAAATACATTTATATAAAAAAAGAAAATTCTTTACCTAAAATAACTGTATCACACTGTTATACTCTATATAATAATTCCATTTAAAATATAAAATCATATCAGTATATATCTACACAAAGTGCAACTGTAAATAAAGTGTTATTTCACTGAGGTTAAAAACACAAACATATTTTTTTACCTCTTTCAGTGCAGAAACTACTGTGGGAGTTTTAAAAGTGTGGGGAGGTAGTCTAAGGAGATGGCTTATTACTGGGACCTATGACCAGAAAGGGTATTCAAATGAAAGCCTGAACAGTCCAGTTTACCCTCAACCCTGGTGCCTCAAATGACTGGTGAGACTGGAGAGGTTTCAGACTTTGAAATGGTGGTAAAAACACTTGCAACAGAGTTCATACTGTACTTATCCATCAGTGTCCCTGGTGACCTAACCACATAGAAGCCTTTTATTGCTCAATATTAACACGTTTCAATACAACACACTCAATAAAAATAGACAAGTCTGTCTACCGGATAAGGACTAATTTGGTTCATGGCCATGTTGGTCTAATGTAACTGATGGCTATTTATACTGGCACAAAAATAGATCAAACTGAGGTTATTATTCTGATCAGCCATTTGGCTTAAACATACATACTTATTGTGGATGTTTAGACGATGAACAAAGCACACATATACTGTAATATCTACAGCAAGTATTATACTTAAAATGAGAACATTTAAACAACTCTATTATTCAAAAATGAGAACCAGACAATTACAAAAAGCACAGCACAGAGACCTATATGTCTGCTAAAACTCAGCTAAAACTTAAAAAGAACCTGGATTCGGTAGGAGAATATGTTGCACATATGCATATACACACCAATATATCTCACACAGCTATACATAAACAGTGTGAGAAACAGTGGAAAGGAGTGAACTAATATCTGTGTGTTTTTAACACATGGCCGGTTTTCAGCACAAGTCAGCTGAATTTCAAACAACTGATGCCAAGAATGTAATTTCTTCTTTCTGTGGGGTTACTTCACGGAACCTCCTGTGTCAAGAGAAAAGCACACAGATAAAGAAAGATAAAATCACCAAACAAAACTTTTTAGCAGTTTAAAACCCAGTTTGTTATCTAATAATCATCTAGTTACCAGCATTAGAGAGGTCATATTATGCCCTTTTAAAAAGTTTTGATTTCGTCTTTTGGGTCTATTAGAATAGGTTTTCATGCTTAAATGTTCACATATTTTACTCTTCCCTGTCTGTCAGTAACACTCAGTTTAGTTCAGGGGCCTCGTTTATAAACGTTGCGTACGCACAAAAGAAGGCGTACGCCGCTCTCTACGCAATAATTGGTATTTATAAAAAGCAAACTTGACAGTAAAATGTGCGGTCCTTCACGCAAGCTCTGACCCAGGCGTACGCACAAAAACGGGTGAAATGAGAAATGGCGACACCGTCGGCAGATGGAAGAAACACGTGAAAGTGTGTGAAACTGTAGACCGTTGAGTAAAATAAATGGCAATACTGCCTCTCATAAATAACACGAAGACTTCACAAAGCAAGTCTTACAATTAACAGCCTACACGAAAACCCGTTTGATCGATCTGCAACAGAAATGCAAATTAACATATTTGCAAAAAGAAAAGTGAAATATGTTCTGCAATAATATTGGCATGTTATACAATTCATCCTCATAAATAAGATGGTAAACAGAACGAAATATTGTACAAAACTGATATTCTCGCCAATGTGTTCGTCAGGCGGAGCAGATATAGCTAGATATAGCTAGATAGTCAATTAGGGAGAGATAGATAGATAAATAGATAGATGTATTATTTGTCCACTGGGGAAAGTTGTTTTCATAGTAAAAATGTCTTTATCAGCTACGGAATCGTGGTATTCATGCAGGTATTTCATGCATATGCCTTTAGTTTGTTTTATTTTTGATAAAATAACGTATGACGTATGTCTCAACCATTCAGAAAGCTGCAAGAAATTACATTTGCGCTGAACTATTTCCCATTTCTAAGTAGATTATAACCGACATCTGTAGCTTGTCGTTTCTTTTTTATTTCGGCCACAGTCCGAGGTTGTGAGGCTACAGCATACGGCGTCCAGGCGCGCTGGAAGCTGTTTCATGCGAGGGGGGCTGAGGGCTGGGTTGGAAAATATGTGACGTCATTGTGTTATGGCTGACGACAAGACATGACATTTCTCTGTATATGTTGTAGCCAATAAAGAAAACATATTTAGTTTCATATTTATGTTTAAATATTATAGGCTAATGTTATTTTTTATTTAATCAATGTTGATTATGAAAGTGAGCGTGCAGCGTGAGAAAGACATGATACATGAGATCATGAGATACCCAAAATGTCTTTGTTGTTGTTGTTGTAGAAAGACTCTTTTAAAAATATTTTCGTTTAGTATAAATTGTATCTTAATTTTGATATGTTTTATCAAACAATTGCCTGTATTTAATAGCTAAATAAGAAGCAAATATAGCAAAAAATGTAAGGCGCCGGCGATCACTTGCATTGCACGTAAACTGGAGGGCGCCGAAACTCAGCTTGTGCCTCACAGATTTTATAAATATAGGATATCTATTAGCTTGAAATGTCTTCTTTTAAACGAAACTATTCAAAACGAAAAGAAATAGACGACTCTCTGATTATGTAATCAAATGTGCATTTCTCTCTGGCGTTCATGGCGAGTCCGCATAACTTCATCTTTGCAGCGACACAGAAAACACCTGTTTATTAATAAACAATTAAATGTTTCCTTGCTATTTTTGACACATTAATAATCATTACTTTCGCCGGTTCTTTGTGGCAAGGTTTATGAGTGCAGGCGTGCGCTTGAGTGCGGCTATATTAGGCTACGTAAACGCTCATCCTGTAGCCTATTTAAGTAATTAAATCAATATAAAGAGGGGCGATGTGTCCACAGTGGCTAAAATGAACAACTACTAATCGACTAGAAGAAAACTTTAGTCGGAGGCAGCCCTTATTCCACATATTTTCGAACCAGCAGGCCATTCAGGGTTGAGCGCGCGACCCTG